AAAAAAAAAAAAAAAAAAAAAAAAAAAAAGGTTCTTTTTGAAGTTTAGTGATATGTTAATATTTAATGATGATAAGCTGCACATTTCTTACAAATAATAGTTTGCAAGAGCAAGCCCTTATGGCTGAAGACAGTCCTGCTGACTTAACAGGAAGTTTCTATCTAGATGACAATTACTGAGCTTGTTACCAGGCTGTTTTTGTCATTGTATTCATTGCAATAGAATCATATTTTTCATTCTTTCTATTATCAGTAATAAAATTATGGATAGAAGGTAGCTTCTGGTTTTGTTAAAAATAAAACCTGTGTTGTCAGTAGCTGTCCCTCTACTCTAAAACCTTGTGGAGACTCCTGCACTGATGAAACCTCTTCAGGGCCTTCCTGTAGCATAGATTTAAGTAACTCAAGGTCTACCAGGTGATGTTTAAGCAAATTGCACTCCATATTAAATCACCTGCCACTGTATTCACAGAAATCAGTATTCTCATACTCAGATCCAGTTTTATCTGAGAGTAGGAAAAGTAACCTGAGACAATGAAGAAGGAAGAAAAAAACAGCACTTTATCCTTCAGATACAACTGGGTCCTTTTAGTAGAGGTACTGTGAAGATTTGGTTTTGACTTTTTCTTCTGCTTAAAATAAGTTTAGGTTTTTTCCTTAGCTGTGTACAACGGCATCGTAACATTCCTAAAGTTGAAACAAAATGGGAACAGTGCAGATTCTTAGGAGAATACAGCCATAAACAATTATAACAGTAATTCTGGAAAAATCCTTCTGCTATATTAAACAGACTTGGGCCTGGCTTTTACCATTACTTTGGCGGGACGGGGAGAAGAGGAAAACAACCAAACAGCTGAATTCATGGAATCAAGTTTTCTCTAACAAATCATGTGGACTGAAACTGTGAGACTCAGGCAGTCACCTGAATAAGTATGATCCTTTAACCAAACCTGAAACACTGGAGGATCCCTGTAATTTCATGGTAGATGCCAAACCTGGGAAATTCCTCTAACAATAAACCCCAAAAATCTCCTTGGTTGTGAGAGCTACAGGATGATCCTAGTGTCCAGCTGCCCTTCTGTATTGGTATTACCACTTCTAGTCTGTCCAACATCTACACAAACGTGTATAGCATCTACCTAAAGAGATGCCCGTTTCAATGGTAGGAGAGAACTCCTGTGCACAAAGCTCATGCAGGGGAGCAAAAGGTGAGTAGGCAGTGTACAAAGCCTGAAGCAAAAGGTGTGGTTCAGGTTTTACCTACGAGACATAGGCCTGATACTGCAGCAAAAAGTTCAGGTCGGCTTTTAAACAGCCTAAACTCAGAGTAATTATGCTGACCTATATTATTTGATAATGACAGAGAATTATATTTATTCTTACAATTAGAGAGTATAATTACAATAATACAGAATTACTTTGAGCCTCCTACAAGGAAATGTCAGTTACAACATTCCTGGATGGGTAAATCAGTCATTCTTAAACTGGAAATCAGTAATTCTGGGGTACATAATTGCTTATTGTACCCAGGAAACCTGGTTGGTTTGTTTGATTTTTTTTCCTTATTTAGTTTATTATCCATTATATAGTTTGATCATTGGTACCAAAGGCTCTTTAGCTTTATGCGTATTTATTTAAACTATGGTGTTTGTCCTGCAGCAGCAGGTGCACAGGTCAGTGATTAGGGCATCCAGACCCTGGTCTCAAGTTTGGTGTGCAGAATGCTTACATCTTTGTATGCAAGCTCGCTCACACGCCTACTGCTACACATGTTCAGCATTTTCTGGAGCTGCAGGAAATATATTTTTTTGCTTAGCATGATATGCCTTTCCTTGCTGTAAGCATATGTAGGTTATCCAAGAAATAGTAAAGTTCATGACTTCTATGAGGTCAATTAGTTGACTAGAATTCAAAGCCTGTGTCCATTTGGAAATTATAATCTTTGTACTCCAGTGTAAAGTGTGTGTAATCATGCGGTGAGTAACCTGTGGAGTATGCCGCCTCTCCACGTAACCCTGTTGCCTAGTGGCTGGAGTGTGCCATCTGTCCTGCTGGCTCATCAGTTTTCAAGAAATCGATTACTAAACTTCACAAATCCTCTGTTGTTAAGACTGAGATGTTGGGGCATACAGGACTTCACTAATTCTAAAGTTTGCAAAGAGAGTTGATAATAATGAAGAGTCGATACAAGCAATATATTTAAAGAAAAGCAGGGAAACTTGTAAACTCCTCACTGTTCTCAGGCAGTCTGATGCAGCCTCTCCATTGCCGCTTTGCACAGTCATTTTATTCAAGAACTCAGCTGTCGTTGCTAAGCTTTCATCCTGAGGGTTGTGCTTATTTTCATAAGGATTGCCTGCAAGTATATTGCAAATTGACATCTTTATTTTCTGACCAGTCTGCTTAGTTTTGCTGCTGCCTCGGTGTTAACCAGTCTTGGGACAAGGTTATGATTTATTTTTTTTTAACTCTAGATACAGTGCTATGGAAGTAACAAATATTTCATAAACATCAGCTTAACTTATTTTCTTGTGTGTTTAGAGTAGTTCTTATGTTGCGATGATAAAAATTCTCCGAACTGTAAAGATGCCTTTTTGTTTGGTTGGTTTTATTTTGTTTTTAAAACCAGGCAATATTGAAATAGACATCTTGGAAATGTTTTCACTTCACAAAATGTGATATATACTGTATAATGTTCATTTAAGGAGATAAATCTAAAATAAGTAATACTTGAGATTGTCCTGACTTAAAAGTAGGAAGGTGTAGCAGGAGTTCTGGTGTTCCTGAAGTGGCATGAGATGTTTAGATACTGAAATAACCCAGTACAGAATGGGAAAGAAAGTCAGTTCTGTTAAGAAGCTTAAGGGTATTAAAAACTATTGTGGTTTAGGCCCAGAGGGCAGCTGAGCACCATGCAGCTGTTCACTCACCCCTTCCCCACCAGCGCCGGGAAGGAAAATGAAACAAAAAAGCTCAGGAATGATAAGGACAGGGAGGGGTCCCTCACCCGTTAAAGGTCACAGGCAAAACCCAAGATAGGGTAAGAAAAAAAAGAGATCACTTTAATTCAACACTAACGAAAACCACAGAATGGAACAGTGAGAAGCGTTGCCATATTAAAACCACTTCCACCCACCCCTCCCTTCTTCTCGGGCTGTTTTGTTTCCGGTATCTCTACGTCCCTCCCCAGCAGGGCAGGGGCAGGGGATGGGGGATGCAGTCAGTTAACGGCTTTTTCCTCCAAGGGGAAGAAGCACTCTTCTGCATTCTCCCCTCTGCTCCACGTGGCGTCCCTCTCATGGGAGACAGTCCTCCACAAACTCTCTGACGTGACTCCTCCCCACGGGCTGCTTTCTTCTTGAGATGCTCTGGCGTGGGTCACCTCCACGTGTTTCAGTCCTCCCAGCACCGAACTACAACTGCGAGGGCTGCTTCTTCCCACAGAGTTCTGGGGGTCCTCCACAGGCTGCAGGCGAATCTCTGCTCCTCCCGTGACCTCCATGGGTGGCAGGGGGGTGGTCCTGCTCTCTCACCATGGGATACAGGGGGGCTCCATGCTCTGGCACACCTCCCGGCCTCTCTCCTTCCTTCCACTGACTTTGGTGTTCACATAGGTGTTCTTCTAGTAATTCCTCCTCAAAATCCCTCCTACACCCTCCCAGGTTCCCCTTCTTAAATACGTTGTTATCACAGAGGCACAGCCACTATCGCTGACTGGCTGGGTCTTGGCCGGAGGCAGGTCCCACGTGGAGCCAGAGGAGCTTCGAGAAGCTTCTCACAGGGGATCACTGCTGTTGCCCCCTCCCCCGCTACCAAAAACCCCACCACACAAACCCAGTACAAAAGCAAACAAACAAGCAAACCCTTTTCTTGAATACCTGAATTTTGTGTCTACAGAATCCAAAAACTTCTGCAATAGTGAAGCAACTGGTTGCTGAAGGAAATGTCAAAGAACTGCAGAAATACTTTGGCTCACGGATGGAGTTTGGCACAGCAGGGCTCAGAGCTGCCATGGGAGCAGGGATTTCCCACATGAATGACTTGACTATTATCCAGACAACCCAGGTACTGTGTTTAGCACTTTATCTCACTTAATTGGTTGTATATATGAGCAGAAGAGCATCATTTATGACAAACAGGTATCCTATGGAAGTACCTGGGTTTTACTATTTCTCCAGTTTTCAGAAGTAATTTAAATGACAATTATTAGCTGAGTGCTGATCTCTGCAAACAAGCAGAGAGGAGCTATTAAACCATTAAAATAAGTTATTTTCCATATTTGATTTGCAACTGAATTTTTATACACAGCTACAGTTAAGCTCAAGTGAGTCACTTAGTGCTGATGTAACAACTACAAAAAACCCAAAAGGTAGCCAGCATTTGTCTAAGCTTTGTGTGTGTTGGACATAAATTTACATAAATGCAGTGAACCTTTATATAGGCCTATAGGTCCTAAAGTAGATTAGGGGAGAGTTTAAACCTCCAAAACCTTAAATTACTGCAGTCTGGTGGTGTATCATGTCCTAAATAGATGTCATTATTAAGAGTGACATTCAATTAAAAAACTGAAGTATTGGCCAGTTCTCTTCCTCATCTGAGACCTAACACAGCTAAATAATTTCTCAAAATCTGCAGTTCAGACTTAATCAAGTTAAGTGGTTCTTTTTGGAATTGGTTCTGATGTTTGGAAAAGTACTTAAATGCTGTCCAGCTTCACTATATTGATTTGAAGGTTTCTGATATTTCTTGGTGTTTGTTGGTCCTAGACAAACTGAATTCCAATCCGGTTCAGTGGGATGTTATGTGCACTTACCTTTCTAAGATGACAACATCTTAGTAGTCATCTTAATGCAATGATAAATATTAAGATTGGGATAATGAGGTGGATTTGTTGTCTTCAGGGATTTTGCAGATACCTTGAGAAGAATTTCAGTGACCTGAAAAAGAGAGGAGTTGTGATTGGCTTTGATGTTCGTGCCCATCTTTCCAGTGGAGGTAGTAGCAAAAGGTACTTCCTTAGTTTTAAGTATCTTGTAGATGTATTGTGTGATCCATTACAGTTTTATATCTGCTTCAACAGTTTATAGTATTTTTATGTTCTTTTAATTCCAAAGCAGTTCTCAGAGTTGTGCTTTGTCTATTGGGAATAGTGAAGAGAACACATTTAAATTGGGTCTGTATAATAATTTGGGATTTTTTTATGTGGGTTTTTGTTTGTTTCCTCTTTAAATTGGAGGGGGGGGGGAGAAGCTGTGAATTTTAGGAAAGTAGCTGTTGTGAAAATGAATATATTTCCTAGGCATCTTTTCTTCCTGTTTAGGTTTGCAAGACTTGCTGCTACTACCTTCATCAGTCAGGGAGTTCCGGTTTATCTGTTCTCTGATATAACACCAACTCCTTTTGTGGTAGGTTTCTCTATTATATCTTTTCATATACTCACAAATTCTGTCAGATACCTTGCATTATTTACATTAAGAAAACCTAGACAAATGACTTCTAACTTTTTAAGCTCTACCTGCAGTGAGTCTTATGCTTATTTAGTTCACAACATCCACAGCAAGAGAAGGAAGAAGCTTAGTGGAATATCAGTGACAGTGGGATGTGTTTCTGTTCATTCCTGCTTTCAGGTAGATTTCTTGTAGAAGACATCTCATTTTCTAGATTGCTGTTGGAGTCTGAAGTCTGAAACATACACACGCATTTAGTTTTGTGATTTTTGGTTGTTGGTTTTGTCAGTTTTTTAAATTCTTTTTTCTTTTTGGGGTATTGAATCCAAAGCAGCCTTTTTAAATAGCAGGTTGTTGGAATACAGCAATGTTACACAGAGAGGGTGGTTAAATGTGGCCGCATTTTCACCATCGGATCACCAGGTGTCAGTCCTCTAGAGCAATAAAGAAAACTCCTACATTTGCACCAAAAGCATCAGTTTCTCCCTATAGCAGTTGCTCCACCGAGTACCACAAATAGAACACAGTGGGATGAAGACTTTGTATGTAGCATTCTTGTACTGATACAAATTTTGGTAGATTTAGGGTCGAATTCTTCATAGCACAGCATAAAGCAGTGTTGCAAGAACTGCAGTTGATTGCATCTGCTATTAAAGGAAGAGCCAGGAAAAACTTCAGCTGGACCTGTGGTCACAAACTGCTTTATTTTTAATTCACTCTATCTCTTTTGGACTAATTTATAAGTGCTCTCTCCAAAGCAATTCTCTTCTCAACCATGATCGAGTGGTTGCTCCCTAGGCTGCTCTCAAAAGATAGTATGGATGAGACTTCTCCAGTTGTAATTCTCTACCCTAACGCAGACTTCTGCCACTACCCCAACAGACTTTGCACCCTTAAAGACCTCAGGAATCTCAAGCCATTCTACAGTAGGCAACGCTGCATTCAGTTTCCTTCTGTAAGAAGGAATCTACTCTAGAGATCTAGGAGGTATCTGAAATGAGCAAGAAAAGGCAAGGACTGAAGTTGTGCCAGGTGTGGTCTAGTGGAGCAAGTACTACAAGCTTCTGCTTTAGAGAGTCAGTCTGTAGGAACCACATCCTGGCTTTCTTTTCCTTCAGCAGTATGGAAGCATTGCACATGCATAAGAATAAATAATATATAATTTTTTGCACATTCCACTTCAGATAACTTTCTCTTGTTACAGCCATACACAGTAAGACATCTGAATCTTTGTGCTGGAATTATGGTTACAGCTTCGCATAATCCAAAACAAGATAATGGTTACAAGGTATTCCTATATGATCTATTTTCTGTCTTTTTTCATTTTTTTCCACATAGAGACACTAATCCTATTGTGTATAGTTCCTATCATGGTATAGACCATATTAATTGATAGTTTGATCTCTTCTACATGTATGTGTTTAAAGCTAGTAGCGTGTTATACTAATAACATAATTATAATCTTAGCTTTAAAAGGTGGGAAGATCAGTAATACCATTGCATACTATGGAATACTTTAAAATATTAACTGAAAGCATTAACCATTTGTCCAATTCATGATTTAAAAAGATCTTGTTACTTTTACAAACCCAGAGAGTTAGAAATACGTGAAACCTAATGAGTTGTTCGTACAATATATTTTGAATAAATTCCATTAATTTCTTGAAGTATAATTTTCTTTTGCTGACACAGTTATTAGAGTGACTTTTTCTATGACAGAAGTTTTCTTTCCACTGAAAAAACATGGCTGAGATGCCTGTCTGCCAGTCATCCCATAGCTGAAACAGTCATATACTGACTGTTTCCTAACCACAAAAATGGAACTTGAAAGATCTTTTTTTCTTTTCTTAATTGAAAAACACAGCATTAGGAGAGATGATTTCTTGCTGTCTCTCCCTCTGGAACTTCATGTCTGCTTAAAATTGCTGCTTTTTTTTTTTTTTTAAATATATTTCATGTATTGATTTTGATAGCTTGTTTGGATGTTTTATCAGTTACTTTTTAAATCAACTTAATTTTTTCTTAAAGTTCTGTTATTTGGGCTATATATATATATATATACATGGACCAGAAACTGTTAGGTATCTTTCCTTAAACTTGTGGTCTGTGAACCATCAGTAGAAGGAAGTGTGCAAACACTCTCAGAAAGTAAAACATAAATACACCTCTTCCTGGATGTGTAAACAGTCAACAAAAACAGGACAACTACAAGTAATGAATGACTTGAAAATTAGTTGAATTTGTGCTTGTTGCTGTAGTCAGCTGCAAAGTTTTTGTGCCTTTCCCCTTAATTTTTTATCATAAATGTGTTTCACTTTTGCATGCTTTTTTCCTTTTAAGAATTCTTCTATATATAATGACTATACCTAAAAATCTGCAAGAAAATATATGAAATAGCACAGGCAAGTTATCAGTCCCAAGGCTGGCAGACAGGCTGATAATTGAAACTTCTCAATAAATGAGCTGGGATTGTTTTGTGTTTCATTATGGATTTTGATATCTTCTGGTAAAATTAAACAGCTTTTTTTATAGAACAAAAATGGGATGTAAGAAAAAACACTGAGAATATGAAGAGGGGAATATTCTGGGTATACTTAAGCCTCATGTACTGTCTTACTCTACCAAATGTAGTGCATGTTAGCCAACAGAAAAAAACCAAATCTATCCTACAGTATTAATGACCAAATACTCACCCTGTTTATTATTTAGGTTTACTGGGAAAATGGCGCTCAGATCATTTCCCCTCATGACAAAGGAATTTCTCAGGCTATTGAGGAGAACCAAGAGCCATGGCCTCAGGCTTGGGATGACAAACTGATTGACAGCAGCCTGCTACTTCATGATCCATATGCCACAGTCAATAAGGAGTATTTCAAAGACATACAGAAACAGTGCTTTCACAGGTAACTGGTATTAAGTCTGTTAAGAATATGGGATTTTCCATCTAGTATGTCAGCAGAGATGTTTAAATTGATGGAAGTCAGGGCAGCCACGATCCTGCCACGATCCAGTTCTCTTTGTGACTTCTGTTCATCTTTTGTGGTAGCACTGGCAGCTGTGTGGTAACATAGTAAGCCAGTTCATAAAGCTGGTCTGCTGGAAGTCTAATGTAGCAATTAGTTTCTGATTATATCATCTCCCTGTAGCCACATGATGACACATAAACTCAATGACACAGCAAGACTGAGGCTACCTTGTGCAGCTGGGAGTGAGCTGACACTGACAGTCCAACAGCCTCAAAATGGCCTTTTAAGAGAGGTGAACCAGGCTGTTAAACAAACCAGCTGTGGTAGAAGGAGGTCTTGCTCTGTCATTCTAGTTTTGCACGTGCTCCTCCTTGTGGCCTTGGGTGCCTTGCACCTTGTCCTGCCACTTGCTCAGTAAAAGCTTTACTCAAAAAAATCAAGTGGATGTTACTTTTTGTGATTAACAAGTAGAATTGGTTTATGAATTAGATGACTTGTTAGATATGCTTGTTTACATCAAAACTTTACCCGCTAGAAACCATGTTCTTATTCTTGCTAAAAACAAAGTCAGAATTACTAGGAAGTTGGAGATATGTGAGAAATTATGCTGATTTTTCAGAATAGGAGTTAAATGTCTCCTTAGGAGTTTGCATGCCTTTTACGTATGTTCTACACTTTCAGTAATATACTTCATAAATATAAATGTGCTCAAATGAGGTGTGCTGCTTTTGGTTCACTGTGACCACAGTCTTTGGAGCTGGTTTAAATGCCAGAGTTGGGGATGAAGCGTCTTATTAGTCGGTTGTATTTCTTTTCTACTCTCCCTCTTCAGAGTGTACTATCATATTCCAGTGATTTGCACATACCAGGACATTAGATATCAAGTCACTCATATTGCTGCAAAATTAAGCTAAGCCAATTTTCAAGCCATTGCTTTTAAAATCTGATCTTCTTTAATTAATAATTTTAAGATCTAGAATACCAAGTCGTACCTGTTTCCAACTGTAGTCAATTTTGTGCAGAATATTCTTCCATATCCAAGTTTACTGTTAATCTGTTTTATTTCAGGAATATAAACAAGGAAACAAACCTGAAATTTGTTCATACTTCTGTGCATGGTGTAGGTCATAAATTTGTGCAGTTGGCCTTCAAGGCATTTGACCTTAGCCCTCCTTTTGCTGTTCCGGAACAGAAGGATCCTGATCCAGAATTTCCCACAGTGAAGTATCCAAATCCTGAGGAAGGCAAAGGTGTTCTGGTAATTAGATACTTTTTTAATAGTTGCAATGTCTTTCAGTGTTTCCTTTCTGCCAGTAGTCATGGCTATAAATACTGGTTGAAGGTCTATTTTGTGTCTGTTTTCATAGCCTTACATTTAGGGAAGAGTTAGCTGGTATCCTTCCATTGAAATTTGTAACTGTTTTTGAAACAGTCAGATAACAATTAGCTTTGAACTACTTTGTTCTATGCTATAAACAGAATGGGCAGTATCTATCTGCATGTAGAACAAAGTGATACAGTTCCTTTTAAAAAAGGAAGTAACAATAGAAAAATCTTCAGGGTTGGTTTTAGAAAGTTTCTACAATTTCAATCTGAAATACAAGGACTAAATTGTTCTGATATGACACCAGGAGGAGGCAAGGAAGTCCTGACAGGGGGTTAGAATTTCTGCTCTAAGTATTTCTGCAACACTTTGTTGTTGAAGGATCCTGTTGAATCCACATAGTGTGACTCGGGCTGCAGAAGTGGAATGATGTAGTTGAAGTTAAATATCCTGACTGCTCTACTGGTGCCAGGCTTAAAGTTTATTTTTTGTAGAGACATATCATGATTTTGGTTTTTTCAAGATTAAATAAATTGGGAAAATTATTAAAAACCTATAAAGAAAGTGAAAATATTATTTGGGAGTATTAACACTCGTCTTGCTTACTACTTTTCCAGACATTGTCTTTTGCTTTGGCTGAAAAAGATGGGGCAAAAATCATTCTAGCAAATGATCCTGATGCTGATCGACTTGCAGTGGCAGAGAAACAAGAGAGGTATGGTAATTAAGAAATGCAAACCGTTTACATTTTTTACTTAAAGGCTAGGCTCATTTGGGGGATTCTTGCTACCTGTGTTGCACAGAATAGTCACAGTAGTTGGTTTTGGACTGAAAACACATAGAAATGTGAGAGGAGTGTATGAAGCAGAGCACAGTGGGGGCAGTAAGTGAAATAATGGTTAATATTAGACACTGTACAGAAGATTGAATAAATACTTGACACTTGTTGTACTTGAGGTATGCACAGAAGCATGTAAATTATTGTGGTTGTGCTATACCTTTTCAAAGGTAGGTTTTCAGTTAGAAATATTTCATATAGAACTATAAACATTCTTTCATACTATATTAAATAATAACTTGAATATTCAGGAGAGCCGTTATAGTTCCCTGATAATCTCAGGAATAAGGAACATCCCTTTAATATGAATTCCTTCTTTCTCAAATACTGCTGGACCAGACATTCTACTAATCATTCAATGATCTGGGCCTCTTGCTCAGTTCCCCACTTCTGTGCATAATGTTATGTACCTGCAGTTCACCTTAAGCTTTGTCAGTGTTTGGTACTTCTCAGTGTAGTCATTTGTGCTCTCTTCTTTAAGGACCAGCTATACATACACTATTTATCTATGTATATGCTGTCAAATAATCAGATCACAAAAGGTAAATTTGCTCAAAAAGGGGCTTCTCTTTAATTTTTCATATCACAGAATCCTAGAATGGTTTGGGATGGAAGGGACCTTAAAGATCATCTAGTTCCACCCCCCCTGCCATGGGCAGGGACACCTTCCACTAGCCCAGGTTGCTCAAAGCCCCGTCCAACCTGGCCTTGAACACTGCCAGGGAAAGGGCAGCCACAGCTTCTCTGGGCAACCTGTGCCAGTGTCTCACCACCCTCACAGTAAAGAATTTCTTCCTTCTGTCTAATCTAAACTACCCTTTTCAGTTTCAGCCATTAGCCCTCGTCCTGTCACTACATGCCCTTGTAAAAAGTCCTTCTTCAGTTTTCTTGTATGGCTCCTTTAGGTACTGGAATGCTGCTATAAGGCCTTCCCAGAGTGACATGTATGTTCCATATGTGTGCAACATGTAACCTATAGTTCTGACCCAATATTGCCACCCCTTATTTCCTGCCCCCTAATATCCCATACTTCTACAATTGTTTGCATTTCTGGATTGTGGTTATATATGATGAATGAAAATAAGCTGAAGTACTGAACTTGTTATCATATCTACAAATAGTGGTGTCTATCTAGCCTGATAAAGCATAAACTAATCTGAGCAGTTAGGAACTATGAATCTTTAATAAGAGTAAACTTCAATGTTTTCAGTTCAGAGAGGAGTACAAAAATCTGCTGCTGGACCAGGAGCAGAGACAGTATAAATTAATTCCCTGTGCATGAGAGTGAGAAGAGGGATATAAAATCATGGCAACATCCTAAGGGATGAGATGGCTACCTGCTAGATATCCTCAGTGACTGTGGATGATGCAAATAATATTTGAACCGCAAATTCCCAAAATTCCAGTAAAAGGAGACAGTGCAAATATCCATTTTGCTCACCAGATAATATTTTTGGTCTTGTAGCAGCTTCAAAGGTGGGAGGGTTTTATTTGGGGTTTTGGGGCACTTTTTTTTTTTAACTCATTAGCCTCACAGCATGAATTAAGAAGGCTTTTCTGCCTTTAGAAGAAGAACGGGCTAATTGGCACTCTCTTCTGTATCTTGGGCAGTGTTAGCTGGAATATGTTTATTTTAATGGTTTTGGCTTGTGCCAGCCTCAGATGGCAATTCAGCATTGAAGAAAAAGAATTAAAAGCTTCAGTTTGTGCTAGTTATGATGGATTAAAACACGAATGCAAAATCACTCATGTTTTTTATTGAAAAACTTATAGCTATCAGAAACTTGAAGAAGGCATGTTATTTTATTGTATTTATCACCACTGAGAGCCTGGTGCTCTCATTCTGCTACCTCTTTGCTAATTGTTTAGCCAGCCTCAGTTGTCTTCTAACTTTGTCCTGCATCCTCCTCTCAGACTTCTGCTATAGCTGTTCAGATGCTAATTGAATATTAATATAGCCTTCTACAGTATCTGTACTTCTTCTTTGACAGAAACTCCTGCTAGAGCACACTTTCTCAGCACTCTTACATTAAGTTGTCGCTGTGCATTGCTTTGTGCCTCTTGGCATCAATAAATGCAGGAGACTGAGTCTGCTTCTCTTTCACAACAGGTACTGTTTCTGTAGGACTTGTCTTTTGTCACTTTGTCCCCTTTTGTGAATGGGAATTTTTTGGCAATTTTGACATCTGTCTTCCCCTTTTTCCTTCAATTTTTGTTGTTCTAGCAACATGTCAATGTTTTTTTGTTTTTTTTTTACCTGTTTGAGATTTTTTCCAATCTTCCTCAATGACCAACTGGTGTATTTGTGATTAAATAAAAGGTATTTGTCACCAAGTGAACTAAAAATACTGATCACTTGAGAATCGTATTTTCTTGTCTCTGTGCTCATCTTAATCATTGGTTTTATAAATTGTCTGCTGGAGATCTTTGTTTTACTTAAAATATGCTGAAAATATCACTGTTCATTGTTTCATCTTTGGATAAACTCAAAAGCTGTTACATATGATGAAGGAGGAAGGTAACCACTTCAGAATTCTTTGGGGGGAGCAATTTTTTTGTTTGTTCTTAATGAACACGTGATATCTTGTTATTGTTACTTGGAACTCAGATGCAGTGGGTTTATTTCCTAGTATGTATGGAAGAACATGTATGAAAGAACAGATAGATAGTTTGTTTTCTCCAGAATTATCATTTGAATTAATGTACTTCCTATTACTTATTTAATTATTTTTTTTCCCATCCAGTGGTGAATGGAAAGTGTTTTCTGGAAATGAGCTGGGAGCTCTTTTAGGCTGGTGGATTTTCACTTGCTGGAAAAAGCACAATAGGGATACTCGTGCCATTAAAGATGTATACATGTTATCCAGTACTGTTTCTTCCAAAATCCTGAGAGCAATTGCACTAAAGGAAGGTTTTCACTTTGAGGTAAACTGTTACAGATTATTCCACGTTCTTTTATTTGCTTACCTACACAGTGTCAATCTTTGTAAAACTTTGCTTTTATTTTTAATTCTTTTCTTTCTCCTCGCTGCTGCAGGAAACACTGACAGGTTTCAAGTGGATGGGCAACCGTGCCAAACAGCTCATGGACCAGGGAAAAGCTGTTCTTTTTGCATTTGAGGAGGCCATAGGTAAGAAACGGAATATTATGTTCTAGTATCCTGTAAAATGGTGAAAGTAGGACTGTTGCAAAAAATGACAATGTAAAGGTGCTCTCAACACAATGTTTGCCAGTGAGTAATCAATATCATCCATTTGGATGATTGATATAACTAGTTTTAATCCTTTGTATCTCTGCTGAGCATGAAGTATGATGATGTGAGCTAGTATATGTATCTTCAGTAGCATGACTATGTAGACTTGGACTGCAAATTCTGCACAAGCTATTTAAAAAAATCAAACATGTTCTTCAGTGTTTCAAGTTGAGTATGTTTAACTGACAGTTCTAAGCTAAGTTTAAATGTGAATAAAATAAAGTAAAAACTCCCCCAAATTATATTTGTATACTGGAAGGCCATGCATAAAAGCTATGAATTAATGAGAAGGAAATTGTAAAGCTATAATGCTATTTCTTGAGTGTCTCAATACCTGAAAACCAGAGAAAATGCGACTAATTTAATGGATAATTATCAGTGTTATTGTATGCTACTATGTAATCAAAATTGAGACAAAGTGCTATACTTGCATTGTTCCTGCAGTGTGGCATTTCTCTTTCATGAGAGCTCCGAAAGTACTTGAAAACATCTGGCACTGATAAGATACAAATCTGTCTTTATGTTGAAATTCCATTAAATACCTTGCTTACCAAAATTAACACTGACTAGAAGATAAAATTTTTCCAGTTTTGGTTTAGCTGTAAAACGTCTGTACCATGGTGACATGCATTTCTCTTTTAAAAGATGTTCGTTTGATTACCTTCCCCCCCCCCCTTTTTATCTTACTTCCTCATTAAAGTATATCAAATATATCTAATTTTCTTTGTTTAGGGTATATGTGCTGTCCTGCTGTTCTGGACAAAGATGGTGTCAGCGCTGCTGTTATAACTGCGGAGATGGCTAGCTTTTTGGCAACCAGGAATCTGACTTTGTCTCAACAGCTGAAAGCTGTCTATGATGAGTGAGTTTGATTACAATTGTTTAGTTTTCAGATTTTCTCCATTCCACATACTGGGGTTAATAGGGACACAGTAGCAACCTAAAGTATATGAAGGAATAAAAATTGGGTTATTGTATTATTAACACAATTCTGTGTTAATAGTAATCTCTAGAAAGCACTCCTGCCTCATGGGCATGAATATATTTATGACTTAATGCTGTTCCATTTTAAGGTGTTTAAAAAAAATATATTACCTTACTGTTTCCCTATTAGTTAATGAGATTTTTTATGTATTTTTGTTTGCTTTTCTGAAAGGTTTCCCCCTTTTGGGAACTTCTGCTCTTCAGTCCTTTTACAGAAGGTTGGCCTGGGTTTTAGCCAGCATCACTGCTGTGTTGTAGAGGTTGTAGTGCTTCTTGCTGCTTAAATGGGCCAGACAAACAGAAATGTTGATGGCAGAATGGGTCTAAGTAGCTCTGGCATATTTATGCTACTCATAGAAGCTAGCTTGCTTCTGTCCCACTTGCAGGGCTACTTGTGATTAAATTAATTCTAGTTGCCTCTAAAGTTAGACTTTTTATTAGATTATTCTGTCTTTTTTTTGATAGTATATTGGTTAGTTTTTGGCTCCTGAATACTGAAAGTTGATTGTGCAGAAATACTCTGACTGTTTGGCCATAACTGTTGGCTATATACAGCTGGGTATCCCTCTGAGAGCCTTTAATGAGGTTCTACTTTTGTTCTTGTTTAATGTCTTTCAAAGACCTACAGAAATTAGTATCAAAGATGGCTATTGGATTTCATGGTGCAGGAAGTGGGGGTTTTGTTGGGGGGGGGGCAGGGGCAGGTTGTGTTGTGTTGTTTGTTTTAAAGGAGGGAGCAGCACAGGCTGGCAGATACTCTCCACTGCTTCATGTCCTATAGACGCTAACAAAGGAGTGGTGGAACTTGCAAAGAGGCTCATGGAAAACTTCAGCCTTGGTACTTCTTGTTTTTCAGTCTCTCATTTGCATGCAGCACTAGCCATTCTTGTTTCATCTGCTGTTTAAGAAGGAGTCAAGTGGCAAAGACTTGCTAACACACTGCATAAATAAATAAATTAAATATTTCAGCTATTGTACATTGCAGAAATAAACAGTAATATAAATGCATGGAAGAGGAATTCATGCCTAGAGCTGCAAATATAGCATCTGACATGAGAATTTACTTAACTACTCATAGCTGGGAGTGTGTATTCAAGGAATTAATCTTCTTTTGCTCACGTTTTGTTCATTTTTAATACTCATTCAGTAAACGCCTGCTTCAGGTTGCCCTCAGAAACAGAATATTGAACAGAGTGGAACATAGCTGTGCCACAACGCGGCTGCGTACATAGCCACCGAAGAGGACTCTCAAAGTCAGAGTTTATTTAGCATAAAAGCAGTCTGTAGATGCACCTCAAAGTAAAATGTCACTGTACATAGTCACTCTTTATGGAAAAGCTACAGATACAGGAAAGGATATAAATCTACCTTGTTAAGTTGATGCTTGATAACTGGAACTGTGTGTGTCTTGTTTTGGTTTTGGGTGTTGTCTTGTGTATGTGTGTGTTTTGTTTGCTAGTGGCTAGTATAGAGTTACAGTTTTCTACTCCTTACTACTTTATTCTTTATCAGATTTGTCTTGAGAGTCGCTGTTGAAGCAGAAGAAACTCTGCTCTGTATTTTGGAGGTATAGAAGGAGGATCTGTTCTTGAAGAAGTAAATGTAGATCAGTAAAAAGACACAGTCCTAGCAGGCTCATCACTTCTTTCAAATATAGGATAGATTTTGTAAATTCCCTTGCTGGATTCTCAAGACCAATTTAACAACTATTGACTGTCAAGATGTCCATTTTGGCATAAATATGACACTATTTAAGGAACCCTTCAGGTTTCTAACATGAACATCCTAGTACAAATGAAAGATTTTCCTTCAGATTTTCCCCGACACCAAGGATACTCATCAAGTGTTGATCTTTAGTAAAAGCTCACTTAAACAACCACTCCAGGCTTGTATGCTTTTCAGTAACATGCTGTTTTGAAAAGTCAGTGTTAATAGGTCATTTGTCTTTGATGCAGATTCTGCATCATACAGATAATCAGTAAACAGATCAGGTAAAGAGATGATGTTCAGAACAGTTTGGTTTAGGAGAAATACTTTCATGGGAGAGCAGTTTCTAAAGTGTGATTGGAAAAAACAGTCTGGAATTTGTTTTACTCAGAAAAGGTCAGCTGGAATCCAGTCAAGGAAGATATTTAGATGTAGTCTGGTCTTTCACTATGGTGGTTAGATCTCTTCAAGGCAATAACGACATCTTTTTTCTTCTGGTTTAACAGTAAACTTTCTCATTTTTAATCATTAAAAGGAAAAGATGTCTGCACAGAAGTTTCTTTTAATGTAAAATAGGACAATTAAGCTGTTGAGGCCCTTTTTAAAATTGGAAGGAGGTGAACTGATGCTACAGTTGGGTGACCATGAATATAGATTCTTGTTCTATGGAAGGTTGTATAAAGTGTATGGTGTGCAACTCTTAAGAACTTTTGCTTCTTCAGTTAATTAATATTATGTCGTCACAGATATGGCTTCCATATTACCCGAGCTTCATATTTCATCTGCCATGATCCTAAAGTTATTCAACAGCTTTTTGACAACCTTAGAAATTTTGATGGAAGGAACACTTACCCAAAAGCTTGTGGTAGATTTAAAGTTTCTGGAATAAGGGATCTAACTACTGGGTATGACAGCAGCCAGCCAGATCAAAAGGCTGTAAGTATATTTTTTAAAATTATATAAGTATGTATATACACATATATAAACAAATCTATGGAGAAACACTCTAAGCATTGTGTTACATCCTGAGTCTTAAAATAAGTTAGCTTGGGAACGATTGTTTTGCCTTGGTGGGAGGAAATGAAGGTTGGGTGAGGCGGGGTGGGTTAAGGTTTTTGTTTGGTTTTGTGGCAGTTTTTTCTCTCCAGGATGACAGTCTGTAAAGGGAGGTAGGAACATCTTGCTGTCTTGCTACAGCAATCTTGCATTATTTTCTTCTAAGTTAAACTGTCTACTGAGATGTGGCTTTGGGTTCTTTAGTTTTTCACAACCTGTGTTTCTCTTCTTCCTGGGAAATGCCATCACAGAGCAATTTCTGTTTGCAGTAAAATATTGACTGGGCTTGAAACAAGCTACCTACCAGTAATGTACTGCTACCAGATTCAACGCTGAGGGTAAAGGCTGTAATTTGCCTGTTGTAGTCTCAAGACCACAGAGATGAAGAAAACTGAATAAAACTTAATTTTAGCTGATCCTGTAGTTATATGACATCAAGACATGGGTTTTGTCTTGAATTCATTATATAGAGTCACTTTCAAGCTTCTAAAAATTTATTCTATTTCTAGATACTTCCCACTAGTAAAAGTAGCCAAATGATAACATTCACTTTTGCTAATGGAGGAGTGGCCACAATGAGAACCAGTGGGACGGAACCAAAGATCAAATACTATACTGAACTTTGTGCACCTCCTGGAAACAGGTATTGTCACAGCAGTAAAAACTGTGTAATAGGGGCTATGTGGCTTTTTGGTATTGTTTTGGTGGGAAAGGGGCTCTCCATGACCAAATAACATTACTGCAGTAATTATTTTAGAGAGTATAGTTGCATAAAGCTTCAATTCTGCAAAATTCATTGATATAGTCTTGTCACTGAAATTCCTTCAACTTGGTTTCACATTCAGTAAAAACAGTATCAAGAAAAACTTTCTGCCTTAAATGGAAGTCAATATATTCACTCTTTTCACATACATAGTTGCTTTAAACTTATATAACTATATAAAGTGTTCTAATATATTTTAAACCCTTTTATGTTTAGTAATTACATAAGGACTGATAACCTTGGAAATCATATAGTCTTAAAGATAAGCAATTATTAATTTATGTAATGAAAACAATGCTTTCTCACAGATTAAAATTAATCTGAAAATAATATTACAAGTATAAAAATTACATTTCTAATCACATACATTTAGTAATAGAAGATCTGCCGAACTCAAACTAGATGTTCTATTTTAGATTATATTGTGGGTTTGTGTTTCTCCATAGTCTTAAGTGTCTTCATGCACATCAGTTGGAAGTGAACATCAGTGTATTACCATGAGAAATCAAGGGTATATACTTTTAGCAGTAATAGGAAATGTCCAAAACAATGCAACAGGATTAAAAATTTCTCAGATTGAAAATGTGCTTTTTAGCTTCTCCACTGTGACAGTTTTCTGTATTTTTGTGGATTTTGTTTCTCAGTGACATTGAGCAACTGAAGAAGGAACTAGATGAATTGGTCAACGCTCTTGAAAAACACTTCTTTCAACCAGAAAAAAATAATCTTCAACGAAAGACTGAGTAAAATAGTAAAATTACTACCTTAATTGGTTTTTGCAGCATTAGAAGTGCATCATTTAAGTAAGGATTTTTAGGACCAAACATCTGAGAACTCAGACTGAAAAGATTCTGCATTTATTAAGAGTTGTTCTGGGTACTCGGATCTTGTTTCTGAAAGAAAATACCTTTACCCTTAAAGGACCAAAAAACCTCCAATCAGTTGAACTAAAAGTTTATGAACTAAAAGTTTATGAACTAAAAGTTGACTGCAGATGTGTTTAAATCAGAAGGTGTTTTAATTAAATATTATAAGTAATATCTTGATTTCTGAAATGCAGCCTGTTTTGTGGGGCTTTTATTTCTTTTGTGTGCATGTAATCTGGTAATACTATGCAACTTTGTCTAGGTTTAGATTTGCAAAGCAAGTTCTTCTGTTAACAAGTACTGAAAGCCTGTCAGGAGAATTTGACAAACTTGGGGCAAATGTTTCAGAAATAGTGATCTATCTGGGGGATTTTAGCCCAAATAAACAGGGAAGTCACAGCGATTTTGCTGTACAGCTGTTTGCTGTGGGACAATACATCATATTCCAGGTTAGAAATACAAATTGTACTGAACTGCCTTTTAATACCATGAACATACTAAGATAATATATCTGCATCCTGCACATTTCTGTTGCCTCATTAAACTAAGCATAATTAGTTCAATGCATACCCTAGCCTCAGAGCCTGTCATACTGTATGCTGCCATGACTCAATGCATAATTCTGCATGTCTAATTTAAAGCAGAAGTTTTCATTTTATCTCATGCTGTTGCATGCACTCGCAGAGCCTAAGAGGGTTATTTGGAGGCTACCAGTTTGCTTTAATCCAAGGGGGTTTTGGATTTTCAGTAGCTCGAACAGACCCAGTACTTCTTGGGTAAAGAAACCTCTTTGCCAGAATTACTTCTTGTACCCCATGACTAGTTGCCAGACTGAACACAGATCAAATTTAGCAAATTACTCATAAAAGGTCAAACTTGCCATTTCAAGCCCAGTAAATACTAACTTAACTTGTTAGCTAAGATGGTAAGCAAAGAACACTGGATGCCTGCTTTTACCTTACAGACTTCAAAGTTGTCACAGGAGGACACAAGGAAAGGAGTAGTCCCTGCATTCTGTGGCTGTCACATCAGCTTTTCTTGGCTGTGCAGAGCCAAAGGCAGCATCTGAATCATTCATGTTGAGGTCCATCTGTGTGGCATAGAAAATTAACTTTAAAATAAAGTAATAAGGGTACTGAGGAAACAGAGTGTGCTGTTAATCAAATCCTAGTCCTTTAGAGTAGAAAGCTAAAATGATAGGCTATTACTTTGTGCAGAAAATGCTGGTTCACACCCTCCACTTTTCTGTGTCCATTTCTCTATACTAAACCAAAGATGAGACAGGTTTTTACTGATACATGTTTATCTGGTCCATTGAGTAATGCAGTCCATAATCCTAAATAGGACCCTAGGGACTACTGAATGTAGTAGTAACTGTGAAGGGAATCTCAATATTGACTTCAATGCAATCAGCTCTGTCACATTGCATAAAATTTCTTCATGTGTCAAATCCTGCAGTTCTTTCCTTCTGAAAATAAAAGCTAAGGACAAATTAAAGGCTTACAATAAATATATAGTATTTTGAACTTTTTTTTCATGCATGTTAAGTGTGCTAAACCAGTGCATTTGGCATGTTGTAAATCTGAACTGATTCTCAAAAGGAGACATTTCTAAGACATTGAGACAGATTGGTCACCAGTCCCTTTCCATCTGACTGCCACCATGTGGCAGAAACATCTATTAATCTGGGTTTTTTTCTGAATATATATATATATTTTTTTTTTATGAAACCTGAAGGCAACATTACCAGTCTTTTAAAATTTTGGGCTTTGCATTCTTATTTTTGTCCCTGGAAGTATTTTGAGAGTTCCAAGTCCAACTCATGCCTTGTCATCTAGAACTGAGATAGGAAGGAATTTCAAGACCATCCATAAGAAGGGGGCATGAAAACAAGGAGTTATTATTGAGGAATTAAAATGACAACTTTAGCTTTTGAAATAGTCCAAATCTGAAGTACTTCTCAATAGTAGGTGTTCCCTTGTTGCATTTCCTCTGTTTCCTCGGTACCTGTGATGCTGGGTCCCCAGCTGCCCGAGACCTGGAATAATAGGCGTGTGGTACAAGTTTGTGAGACCAGAGTATGAAATGGTGCTGACACATCACAGAAAAAAGCATGTACCTGGATCTTTGAGGTTTCTGTGATAAGTTTCAATGTGGCAAGAGCTGAGAAAAGAAATTAAGCAGGAACCTTACCCACTGCTCCCTAACAGTGCTATTGCAAAGGTTCATTTTTAATTCTTTACCTGCCCCTCAGCACATGAGGTCCTGCTTTCCTTCATTTATGAATAGGCAGCAGGGAAACATGACAAGAAGGAGGTAAGGGGAAAGCTTAAACTGAGATAACGTGTGGAGATTGTGTACTCCTGTACTCAAGCAGGAGACCGGACCTGAAAGGAAGTTACTCCCATGTGCTATTGTGTGCTGTACACTGAGTGGATGCACTTGGAGAACTCTGCAAGTGTCTGACAGCAGGGCCATCAATGAACTGATGTACACTGAGACATCCTTAAGATGGCTTTAGAGCATCCTCAGAAACAGTACAGATATGGTCAAGATGATGACCCAATCTGTATCATTCTGTCTTCCCAGGGACAAGGAATTTATTTGCTCCATTTCCTGCTCTGTTCCAAACAGAATTTCACAACTTGGTGGGGTGGGTGGGTCATCATCTTGAC